GAAACAGTGGCAACCTTGAGACCGTTGCCTAATCACACAACTTAGGCTTTACTCCTGGTGCCAGGACTATAAAGTAGGGATAATTACTACCTCCCCCTGAGTTTGTTTTGCAGACTATACAAAGTGAGATAGCATACAAAAGGGTGTGACATAGTAAGTATACTCTTTTCCCTTTCAGAACAGTATAAGCACCACCATCATTATCTTCTTTAAGGATGAAAAGCCTATTTTATGCCATGATGGGTAAGATAGTGAAGGAGAAGGAGGTGATAGAAAAATAGTTTGGGGTAAAGTAGTGAAAACAGCTCAGATAAGGAGGAGGGGAAATAGGCTAGTAAGTAACCTGCTGTACAATGAGAGTTTGATGCAGCTGTGGGGGGTTACTTGCTTTAATAATGTTTGTTGGGTTTTCCTGGGTATGGAAGTCATTCATGAATACCATAGAGGCTTTGCAAGATTACCTTTGTGTGGGTCATTTGGTTCTTTCAAATAGGTAACACTGAGGCAACACAAACATGGGTCAAGTCCCCAAAGTCTGCCCCGGGCCTTGTTAACCAACGAAATGAAGCAGCGTGTCTTGGGAGGTGCCAGGAAGAACCCGAAGACCTTCTGAGTTGGTGCCACACTGAGTCTTCTTTTCACTTTAGTTAGTGTTTAGCTGGTACAATAAAGGACACTTCATTGAAGGATTCTCAGTCACAGTTCTACCAAACTAAGCAACATTGCCATCTATTGGTGTAAATCAATTCCTAATTTCCTTTATGAGGAGTAAAACCTGTAGATTGGCATGTGGTTTCACAAGAGTAGGGAGTTTGTAGCCTGCTGAAGTAAAGGAAGAAATAGGAGGTCTGCTCCTGCCAGTATCGCCTCCAGGCTGGACAGCAGCCCCCAAATAGGGAATGGGGACCATCTGAAGCTCTGCTTGACAATCTGCTTGATGCAGCCCTAAGAGAAATTAGTGTGAAACAGACATTCCTAATATTAATGATTCTTTCTCTAGCTGAGTTGTTTTATGATAGTACTTACCTCCTTTCCATATTTGAACTTGATGAAGGCAAATCCTTATTTTCTCCTTTACCTTCTCTGTTGATGGCCATCTGTTGGCCTAGTTGCTGCACATCCTAACCATAGTTAGTCTCTCTGTTTCCTGGGGAGTGTACTTTTTTGACTGCTGCAGTGTGGGCCAGGGGTTAAGAGCATGGACTTTGCCGTCAAGCCTGGGTTTTAACCCCCATTTTGCCACTATATGACTTTAGGCAAGTCATTACCTCGGTTTTCCTTTTCATCTGTAAAAGAGACATAATTTCAGGACCTACCGCAGAGGGTGGTCTTGGGGACCAAAGAAAAGAAAAGGTTTAGTCTGATGTGGAGTCCTTTATGAATAGTCACTAAATGAAGCTGCCATTATTACTAATAACCAGATAAAAGATTAGACTAGAGAAGCCAAGTCCTAAAATAAACGGACGAGAGTGGGGGCAGATTGGATTTTTTTTTTTTTTGAGTAGGAGTCTCAGTAGGTCACCCAGACTGGAGGGCAGTGGCATGCTTCTGGCCACCGCAGCCTCGACCTACTGGGCTCAGATGATCCTTCCACCTCAGCCTTCCAAGTAGCCAGAACTACAGACATATGCTACCATGCCCGGCTAATTTTTTTATTTTTTGTAGAGATGGGGTCTCACCAAGTTGCCCAGGCTGGTCTCGAATCCATGGGCTCAGGCAATCCTCTCACCTTGGCCTCTCAAAGTGCTGGAATTATAGGCGTGAGCCACCGCGCCCGGCCTAAACTGGAATTATTTTTGTCTTTATCCACAGAGGTCTTTATGATTTCTTGAACACCACATAGTAGTGGATAAAACTGTTTAAAATGTATCATATTCTGGTAGACTGTTTTTATTTCTTTAAAGAAAAGTATCTGGGTCGGGTGTGGTAGCTAATGCCTATAATCCCAGCACTTTGGGAGGCTGAGGTGAGAGGACTGCCTGAGCCCACGGGTTCGAGACCAGCCTGGGCAACTTGATGAGACCTCATCTCCACAATAAATCAAAAAATTGGCTGGGCGTGGTGACATGTACCTATAGTTGCAGCTACTTGGAAGGCTGAGGCAGAAGGATGGCTTGAGCCCACCTGGTCAAGGCTGTGGTGGCCATGAGCATGCCACTGCACTCCAGCCTGGGCAACAGAGTGAGACTCAAAATAACTAATTAATTAAAAGTATCTAACTTATAAATGCAACTATTGATATACCATGCATGTTTTTCCCACTGAAGTTGCTCGTGCTTTAAAACATGGACCACACACCCCTTTGGAAACAAACTTTAAGGATCTCCTGCAAGTTTTCTGAATCTCTTTATTGCTAGTGTTAAGAGATAAGGCACACTAAAATTTTATTTTTTAGAGACAGGATTTTTTTGGTGCCAAAAACAAAGTGAGTTCTGAAAGAAAAATATTCTGCACGCTGGCTTTTGAGGTTTGATTATCTAGGCATACAGATTGTAGTCCTGAGCTCAGCAGGTTGAAGCTAGTCTCAAATTCTAAAGCTCAAGTAGCTCCCAAAGTACTGGGATTCCTGCACTAAAATTTTAACCCTTTGCAGTCAGATGTCCCCTTGAAGGGAACATCACAAATCTAGCAAACCACTAGGATGTCCCCTCTCAGGGGACATAAATTGCTGATGATTATACAGGACAAATTTATGCAAGCACAAATTTTTCAAAAATATGTTTCCAGGCCAGGTGTGGTGGCTCACGCCTATAATCCCAGCACTTTGGGAGGCCAAGGTGAGAAGATTGCCTGAGCCCATGGGTTCAAGACCCCATCCTGGGCAACTTGGTGAGACCTCATCTCTACAATAAATCAGAAATTAGCCGGGCATGGTGGCACACACCTAAAGTTCCAGCTACTTGGAAGGCTGAGGTGGAAGGATATCCTGAGCTCAGCAGGTTGAGGCTACAGTGACCATGAGCATGTCACTGCACTCTAGCCTGGGTGACAGATTGAGACTCTAACTCAAAAAATAAAATAGCTGGGCTTGGTGGCTCAGCCTGTAATCCCGTGCCTTTGGGAGGCTGAGGTGAGTGGATTTCCTGAGCCCGCGGGTTCGTGACCCGCCTGGGCGGGCAAGACCTCATCTCTACAATAAATCAAAAAATTAGCTGGGCGTGGTAGCGCGCGCCTGTCATTCCGGCTACTTGGAAGGCTGAGGCGGAAGGATTGCCGGAGCCCAGCAGGTCGAGGCTGCGGTGGCCGGAAGCGGCCACTGCACTCCAGTCTGGGCGACAGAGTGAGACGCCAACTCAAATAAATAAATACATAAAATTAAAAAAAATATATGTTTCCTTGAAGTTTTCCATTCAGATGCACAAATAAGCAAAGAGATGGAATATATACTGAGGCATGATCGATCAGTTGAGATGTGGTTTTTAGGAATCCCAAGTGCGTCCTTCCACATCTTCTTCAAACAACAGACTGGATAATAAATTACATATGAATGTGGGAGGAAGAGAATGAGGCTGCATTGTTTGCTCCAATAGAAAAACACCAGGTAGAAGACATCAAATTTCTATTGTACAACATGTATCAAGGAATCTGCAACGCATGTTGATGACTGTTTCACCCATTACCTAACACACGTTAGGAAAATAGATAAAATGTTGAGTTTTTGTCATAAATAAGTTCCTCAGTATCCAAAATTCCATTACAAGCCAAATACCATTACAATAAAATAATTGGTTCCAACACTATACTATTTGATATAAAGTGATATGTTTTTCACCATTTCGTTAAAAAGTGCAGTCAAGTTGCTGAGAGGTGATGCGTGAGATGTCTCCAAGTGCAAAGAGTTCAAGTTTATTTGAACAAATGGTGACTCATGAATCAGGTAGTGCCAAACCCAAAGTGGAAGAGTTTGAAGGGAAGGCTTTTACAGGAGGAATGAGGAAACACAGTAAAGAAATTACTTGGCTGGTTGAAGTTTGAGCATTTGTCTTATTTGGATGATCCCTGTGGAAAGTGTCTGATTATATAACTGATGCTCATTTGGCCATTTTTGATTGGCTAAGCTTGTGTCATTTAGATTAAGTAGGAACCTGATGTAATGGCTTCTCATGAAGTTATTTTAACACAGGGCAATTAATGTTTCCCTGAAGATTGGTTTGATTTTTGGAAATTAAACATCACTTGGTGCCAAAATCAAAGTGAGTTCTGAAAGAAAAATATTCTGCACGCTGGCTTTTGAAGTTGGATTATCTAGGCATACAGATTGTAGCAAACTTGTTCAGAATCACCTCATTTCTCTATAGTTAACTCATCCCAGTTTCCCCCTTTCTTCTCCAGGAAGGCATTTAGTGAAAGACGACAGCCCTTGGTGTCCCTTCTGAACTCTTCTAGGCAGAGAAAATGCTTTGTAGCGGCAAACCGAACTCCCTAATTACCATGTGTCAGGTCAGGCAGAGTGAAAAGGAAACAGACTGGTATTTACTGATTTGAGTAGTTGCCAGTCCAGATTGCGCATAGAGACTCTGAAGAGCTCATTCAGAAGGAGTGGCCATTTTCTGACTTACAGTCTGAAGGGGGGTTTGTTTTTGTTTGGTTTTCCTATTGTTAACTATCAGAAATGTTACTATGTACTGTAAAAATAAAAACAGTTAGGGGAAGGTACTCATTTCATAGCTTGTCTCTCACATTCCTGTCTTCAAATTCCTGCTTTCAGGATTCACATCAGAAGGTGAATTTGTTCAGCTCAAATTAACTTATAGGAGTAGTTTTCATTGCTCTGTGAATAAAAGGTGCTGCTACTTTATGCTGTAACAGATTCTCAGTTTTAAAACCTAGCTGCTGTGTAAATAATTTAGTTGTATATAATTTTTAAAACCCAGGGCAATTTTTATTAGTTGTATAAGTTACTGTGCTATAGTAAGCTGAAATATGCTCAAGGAAAGCCACACGTCTTTATTAACCACAGTTAAATGCGTTTAGGAATTCAGCCCCTGCTCTCACAGCTGTCAGCACAGGCCACTGCCTGGAGCGAGGCATGGCTCTTGGCCAGGGTGGTCACTCACATAGAAGCCATGCTCTTGTATCGCCCGGTAAAGCGTGAGGTACTTGGATGCCAGCCTTGTCCTCGGGACCACGTATCTCTCAGTGAACTCACTCTTGTCCAGTGGCTCTTTGCCTTCTGTGGTCAGAATGCAGTTAATGAACATGAGGGTGTAACTGTAGCAGTTGTGGTGGTCTTCTTCATACCTTACAGAATAGGGGCATTGGGAAGAAAAGACTGAGCTTGGAAGACTGCTCAGGAACAGGCTGGGAAGCGGCGGAAATGACTTTCCTAAATGGGTACCTCAGCCAGCTAGGCCCCATGTGTGCTGGACCAAGTGCTTATGAAGATTCCAAAGGTGCAATTTTGGGGATGACTGGCAACTTGGGCCATTTCTACTTGCTGCTTAAGGGTAGGGGATTCGCCGAACTTGGTGGCTCAGCCTGTAATCCCAGCACTTTGGGAGGCGGAGCAAGTGGACTGCCTGAGCCTGCAGGTTTGAGACCAACCTGGGCAACTTGGCAAGCCTTCATCTCTACAATTAAAAAAAAAAAAATTAAGCCGGGCTCAGTGGCTCAACCTGTAATCGCGCTTTGAGAGGCTGAGGTGAGTGGATTGCCTGAGCCCACGGGTTCGAGACCCGCCTGGGCAACTTGGCGAGACCTCATCTCTACAATAAATCAAAAAATTAGCTGGGCGTGGTAGCACGCGCCTGTAGTTCCAGCTACCTAGAAGGCTGAGGCGGAAGGAACACCGGAGCCCAGCAGGTTGAGGATGTGGTGACCGGGAATGGCCACTGCACTCTACTTTGGGCGACAGAGTGAGACTCCAACTCAAAAAAAAAAAAAAAAAAAAATTAGCCAGGCATAGTATCACGCTCCTGTAGTTCCAGCTATTTGGAAGGCTGAGGCGGAAGGATCACCGGAGCCCAGCAGGTCAACACTGGGGTGGCCAGAGCCTAGTACTGCACTCCAACCTTGTTGCACTCCAACCTGGACATCAGAGTGAAACTCCAACTCAAAAAACAAAAAAAACACTTTCAGAAACTTACTTAAAGAAAAATCACAAATATGAAGATAGGGTGTTTCCATTTGACAGGGTGTGGTAGCTCATACCTGTAATCCCAGCACCTTGGGAGGCGGAGGTGAGAGGATTGCCTGAGCCCATGGGTTTGAAACCAACCTGGGCAACTTGGCGAGACCTCATCTCTACAATAAATCAAAAAATTAGCCAAGCATGGTGGCACGTGTCTGTAGTTCTACTTGGAAGGCTGAGGCAGAAAGATCGCCTGAGCCCAGCAGGTGGAGGCTGCAGTGCCCGTGAGCATGCCATTGCACTCCAGCCTGGGTGAGAGAGTGAGACTCTGACTCAAAAAAGAAAAAAAAAAGATAGGGGACTCACCCAGATATTCAGAGTGGTAGCGACTTAGTTGCAATGAACTGCCAATTTGGGGAATTTAATTTAAATGGAATTCTAAATTTTAGATGTAAGATTTTTAAAACCCAGGGCAATTTTTATTAGTTGTATAAGTTACTGTGCTATAGTAAGCTGAAATATGCTCAAGGAAAGCCACACGTCTTTATTAACCACAGTTAAATGCGTTTAGGAATTCAGCCCCTGCTCTCACAGCTGTCAGCACAGGCCACTGCCTGGAGCGAGGCATGGCTCTTGGCCAGGGTGGTCACTCACATAGAAGCCATGCTCTTGTATCGCCCGGTAAAGCGTGAGGTACTTGGATGCCAGCCTTGTCCTCGGGACCACGTATCTCATAGCTAAGTTTCATTATATCCCATAGTGTCTAAGCTTATTTCAAGCCGGCACAGTAGCTCACGCTTGTAATCCTAGCACTTTGAGAGGCCGAATGAGAGGACTGCCTGAGCCCAGGAGTTTGAGACCAGCCTGGGCAACATGGCAAGACCTAATCTCGACAATAAATCAAAAAATTAGCCAGGCATGGTGGTATGCGCCTGTAGTTCCAGCTACTTAGAAGGCTGAGGTGGAAGGATCGCTGGATCCTAGTGGGTTGAGGCTGCGGTAGCTGTGATTGTGCCACTGCAATCCACCCTGGGCAACAGAGTGAGACTCTGACTCAAATAAATAAATATACTTATTTCAAGGGAAAGCTCAAAATGATTTTTTGTTTGTTTGTTTATATATTTCTAAAGAGACAGGGTCTCACTGTGTTGCCCAGACTGGTCTAGAGCTCCTGGGGTCAAGTGACGCCCCCGCCTCAGACTCCGAGTAGCTAGGATCACAGGTGTGCACTATGGCACCCAGCCCTGCAAAGCTCAAAAAACAATTTAAATACGCAAGTATGATATACATCTCCTAAAATATTGAGAGAGTGAGGAATTGAGAAATTCCAAAATTGCTATTTAATAAAAGGAGCTTGGAAATATTTTTACATTCTGGACATCGGTTTTTAAAAAAACAAAACAAAACCCTATTTTAAGAGACTATCATATTGTGAGTTTTGCCGTATATGCGAAAAATACCCTAGTCACATAGCTAAAATACCTGGATAAGTATAGGATCTATCTAGTTCTTTTGCCTCTCAAAATGCTGATTTGTTCTATAAACGTGTGCCGACCCACATTGGCAGAAAGTCTAAAGTTTACCCCGTTTAAATTCTGTTACAAGTGCTAATATCTCAGCATGGGTCCAGCATACAACTAAGTGCAGCTGAGTCCTCTGTGATGCGAGACCACACAGGAATCTGCGAGGGGGTGGTCTTTGCAGCCACATACCTGTGAGGCAGCCAGGTCCCCAAGCTGGAGAAGTCTTCCAGGTACTTGTCCCACTGGTCCATCAGTCCGTACATGTTGGGCTGCAGTAACAGGATGCTGATGCTCTGCTCCCACCCAGTTTTGTCTCGCTGGACGCCATGTGCATTGTAATTATACACAACTCCTGCAAACCAAACCAAAGCCACACAGAGGCTTAAGGGAGAACGCACCTCTGCAAAAATGGGGCATCAGAAAATAACAGCAGCCCCTTTGGTAACTTTACCTAATAAAATCCAGGTGGGCTCTCCTATTACTGCCAGAGAACAACAAACAATGGGCTGGTGAGCATTCTAGAATCTCCTTCCATCCCTCTAAAGAGATTTAGGTACAGCCTTGTCTGCAGTCAGGGAGGAGTTTATGTAGCCTCCCCAGGTATCAGCAAAGCATTTCTTTCAGGGACCTACGATCTTACTCTACTTGAGGTTTGGCCATAAAGTTGCCCCCAGGAAGTGGAGACAATAATAGATGCCAGGATAACCATCTCCCAAATATTTATTTACAAAGTGGTCAATCTTGTTTCCTTGAATCAGCAATAGACTTCCACCCTTAAAGATTAGTGGTAAATTTGACAGTTCATTTGGGTGAATCTGAGTTCAAAGGTCAGTCCTGAGTTTCTGGTCAAAGTGTTAGTTTCTCTTGCCTCCAGAGGATAAAGAAAGGCTTTGATCAGACTTCACCTGTGAAGCGATAGGAGTGTCACCTGGCTCACCATTCCCAGGCCACAACTTCCTACATGTGGCTCCATCCAGGCCCTTTTCCTGCAGACAAGAAAGCTTCTGGTCTCTGAAAGCTGCAAACTCTACCCTCAGAGCTAAATCTAGCCAAAAGAACTATTTTTGTGCCAGGCGCGGTGGCTCAAGCCTGTAATCCCAGCACTTTGGGAGGCCAAGGTGTGAGGATTGCCTGAGTCCAGGGGTCCGAGACCAGCCTGGGCAACTTGGGGAGACCTGGTCTCTACAATAAATCAAAAAGTAAGCCAGGTGTGGTAGCACGCGCCTGTAGTTCTGGCTACTTGGAAGGCTGAGGTGGAAGGATCGCCTGAGCCCAGCAGGTCGACGTTGGGGTGGTTGTGAGCATGTCACTGCACTCCAGCCTGGGCGACAGAGTGAGACTCTGACTCAAAAAAAAAAAAGATTTGTTTTTAATTTTTTTTTTTTTAAAGAGACAGGAGCTGGCTCTGACCCCCAGGCTAGGAATGTAGCAGGCAATCCTAGCTCACTTCAGGCTTGACTTTCTGGGCTCAAGGGATCCTCCCAAGTAGCTAGGACTACAGGCACTGTAGTCCACACTGTTAGGGTATGGAGAGGGTGAGGGTGGATGGAGAGGCAAGGGGAGGCGCAGCACCAGTAACCCAGAGATCCGAGTAATGCAAAGAATTGCAACACACAAAAAGGTTAAGAAAGAAAAGTTTATTTGAAAGTAAATTAGAGAAAGAGAAGGGGGAGAGAGAAGATTCACCTCCCCAGGGTGGGGGAGGGAGCCAAAGCCAGGAAGCGTGGCAACAACCATAGCTCAAAGAGCACATGGCCACGCCAGAGTCTACCAAGGCAATGGCCGCTGGCTGCTTGTGGTTGGGTCCTTTTAACCAATCCCCTTGATGGGGGAAGATCATTAAGGTGATTGGGTGGTGGTCTGCTCATGTCATCACAAAGGGGCAGGCAAGCACAGGTACTGATGTCATCAGGTGATAGACAGTAGGCAGATGGGTGGGCTAGTCACATGTTTGTTGCCATGGTGGGGTTTATCTGTGTCACCTGGGTCACAAAGGGCTGATTAGGTTAACTTGGGGAGTTTGGGTCTGGAGGGGTTTTTTCCTGCAAGAAACTTATTAGACATTTGCAATTCACAAATTCCTTGACCAAAGGTGGTGGTATTGTCACTTTTATTTCTTTGGCCAGCCAAAGGGTGATCTTTGATCTTCAGCCTTGACAAGGAACCTAAAAGTTTACTAGAGATTATTATACTAAACCATGAATTGAAAGGTTGGGCTGTCCTGGTCTTGCATCCGGTGGAGATTTGCTGAGGAGGGATGGGATAGGCTGCTGCTTGCCCTGCAGTAGATTGTCTGAATGGAATGCTTTCTAATGGTTATGCTGTGGCAAAAAGACTAAACTAAGATAAGGTTTCTTCCAGGTTTCTATAGGTACCATCTTTCACACACCTGGTTAATTTTTGTATTTTTCATAGAGATGGGGTCTTGCTGAGTGCTGCTAGGCTGGTCTAGAACTCCTAGTCTTATATGACCCCCCTACCACGACTTCCCAAAGTGCTGGGATTATAGGCGTGAGCGATGGTGCCCTACAAATCTGCTCTTTTTTTTTAAAGCAAACGACTGCAGGCCCCACGACATCCTAAGGTACTATAGCCCCATTTTATTCCTGAAGTTCCTGCCAAGCCCCTGAACACCCGTGCGCAAATGACTGAGGCATCATAATTATTTTGAGGTTTATTTTGCCAAGGTTTAGGACATGTCTGGGAAAAAGAAACACAAACCACAGTGGTGTCTGTAATCAGAGCTTTTTTCCGTGGGTTTTGGTGAGTTCAGTATTTAAAAGGGAAAGAGCAGGCAGGAGGGGAAGGAGGCAAAGAAGTGGGTGGAAGTTAGGCAGAAGAGCACATTCTACTGAAGGCTTTGAATAGTGCTCGGTGAATTTACATTTTACACAGTGAAATGTGTTCCTCTCAAAATAGGTAGGGCTACATTTCACATAAGATAAACACAGAGTGGACAAAGATCCTGCATAACTCTGCTTCATGGCTTATCCAAGGTGGGGGGTGATAGGTGTTCTGGAAGACTTCAGGGCCCGCTAGGAATTTTGTGAGCAGCTTGGGGGGGTGACGACAGATGGGACACATGAGGTATGTAGCCCTCCACTGAGGCAACCATCCCTCTGGGAACAAAAGGAGGAAAGTTTTGTGGGTGTGTGACTCAATTCTCCAGCTCAACTAACCTTTCCCCTGGCATTGAGTTTGAAGTCCTAAGATCCTGTTTTCTTTTTTTTCTCTCTCTCTCTTTTTCTTTTTTTTTGAGTTGGAGTCTCACTCTTGTCGCCCAGGCTGGAATGCAGTGGCACACTCATGGCCACCCCAGAGTCAACCTGCTGGGCTCTAGCGATCCTTCCACCTCAGCCTTCCAAGTAGGCAGAACTACAGGTGTGCACTACCACACCCAGCAAATTTTTGAATTATTGTAGAGACGAGGTCATGCCAAGTTGCCCGAGCTGGTCTTGAACCCATGGGCTCAGGCAATCCACTTGCCTCAGCCTCCCAAAGTGCTAGGATTACAGGCTGAGCCACCGAGCCTGGTCAAGATCCTGTTTTCTTTCACAAGCTAGTGGTACTAGACTGAGTATAGGATTGGGGAATCAGAGGGCTTGTGTACAAAGTCTGATTTGAACACAAGATATAAGGCCTTTGATAATTCAGTCTCTCTGGACAACTCTCTCTTTCTCTCCTAAAAAAAAAAAATCCAACAAAAAATTTTCAGGTTTGTGAGGCTCCTGGCTAAGAAAACATTAAGGAGCTTTCAAATATTAATATTGTTAGTAGCAATAATCTGCCATAAAGTCAAGTATTTCTCATTTTGGGGGATAGCAGTGCCCACCTCCATGGTGCAGCAAGAGAACCCAGTGAATGATGGAATCACTAATTAAATGTTGCCATTGTAAACCAAAAATAAAATCTCAAGCCCTCCAACCAACTGAACGAACTCCCTCTGGTCAAGGAAAGCCTGAAAAACTAAACTCCAGGCCATGAGGATGAAACTGCCTCTATAAAATTACTAATAATATCAAGCCAGAGGGTAAAAGCCATAAAAAAAGACCTGAAAGAACCAAGAGGGAGTCAATATAGCCAATGAGCAGCCATTTTAACATTGCTTAGCTTTGCCATGTTTTTCTAGCAGTTCACTTTAATTTACCCACTAATCACTAGCCAAGTACAGAGGGTTTCTCAGAGGTAGCTACTGATAATTGCTTTACAACCATTCCAAGTATTTGCATGAGAAACAAGTTAAACTAATCAGCCCTTGGTGACCTCCATGACACAGATAGACCCAAGAACGTGGTAACAATCTTGACTAACCCACCATCTGCCTGCTGTCCATCATGGTAGTGTCAGTACTTGTGCTTAGCTGTCCCCATTGTGATGATGTGAAGCAGACCACCACCCAATCACCTTAAGACCTGCCCCCATCAAAGGAAAGGCTTAAAAGCATTCAACTCATGCCTGTGATCCCAGCACTTTGGGAGGCAGAGGCGAGAAGATTGCCTGAGCCCAGGGGTTCGAGACTAGCCTGGGCAACATGGTGAGCCCTTGTCTCTATATTAAATCAAAAATGTATAGCCGGGCTCGGTGGCTCAGCCTGTAATCCCGCACCTTTGGGAGGCTAAGGTGAGTGGAGTGCCTGAGCCCGCGGGTTCAAGACCCACCTGGGCAACTTGGAGAGACCTCATCTCTACAATAAATCAAAAAAATTAGCCGGGCGTGGTAGCGCGCGCCTGTAGTTCTAGCTACTCAGAAGGCTGAGGCAGAAGGATCGCCGGAGCCCAGCAGGTCGAGGCTGTGGTGGCCAGGAAGCGGCCACTGCACTCCAGTCGGGGTGACAGAGTGAGACTCCAACTCAAAAAAAAAAAAAAATTAACCGGGCATGGTGGCACATGCCTATAGTCCCAGCTACTTGGGAGAATGAGGTGGAAGGATCGCCTGAGCCCAGCAGGTTGAGGCTGTGGTGGCTGTGAGCATGCAACTGCACTCCAACTGGAGTGACAGAGTGAGACTGACTAAAAAGAAAAACGACATTTATCACTTATTGTCTCTGAAGCATGCTGCTTAGAGCCATTACTACAAATTAAGAACCATGATTTCCATAACTCCCTTATCTTAACTCAAGTATTTCTTTTACTGATTTCAATTTCTTTGGGCAGAGTTTAACTCTACCAGTTGCCAGTCAGATAATCTTTGAATTCACCTGTGACCTGTAAGCTCCTCCTGCCTCCACCCCTCCTCGAGAGATGTCCCTCCTTTTCAGGCCCAATCAGTGTAAACCTCACATGTACTTTGTTTTGCTTGTAACCTTTGTCTCCCTAAAAATGTGTAAAACCAAGCTTTAATTCAACCATTTTGCGCACATGTCTTCAGGACCTCTTGGGACTGTGCCGCAGGCCCAGGTCACTCACATTTGGCTCAGAATGAACCTCTGAAAATTGCACAGAGTTTGGTATCTTTGTCAGCACTATGATCACATCTCTAGAATTACTGTTCTCCTCTAAAAGGGTATTGCAGGGGTTTTGTTAAATTTTTTTTTTTTTTTTTTTGAGTTGGAGTCTCACTCGGTCGCCCAGTCTGGAGTGCAGTGGCCGCTCCCGGCCACCGCAGCCTCGACCTGCCGGGCTCCAGCGATCCTTCCGCCTCAGCCTTCCGAGTAGCCGGAATTACAGGCACGTGCTACCACGCCCGGCTGATTTTTTGATTTATTGTAGAGATGAGGTCTCACTGCCCAGGCGGGTCTCGAACCCACGGGCTCAGGCAATCCATTCACCTCAGCCTCCCAAAGGCGTGGGATTACAGGCTGAGCCACCGAGCCCGGCTTTAAATTTTTTAAAAAGTATAAAAAATGCACTTACCATTTGTGTTAGTTATTCCAACATGAAGATCAGACCTTCCATCATACTCCCTGAAAGAAACAAGTATTTTTTTCCTTCGTTTGCATGTATTTGGAATGAAAAGTTGGTATTTAAAGTAGAAGGAGAGTTATGGGCCTCCCCTCCTGTCTGGTGTCAGCTCTTGCCATTAGCATCCAGGTTATTAGAAGCCCTGTTGGAGCTGGTTACATGAAGAGTACAGTTGAGGCAGAAAATACTCCCCTCCCCCCACAAATCTAGATGTTCTCAAAACTCTGATACTAAAGTACTCTATGCTAGAACAGAGATTCAGCCTAACACCTGGCTCCAGGGGCCCACCTGGAGGTCAGCTGTTGCAGGAGTTCCTCCTCATTCTTCCTTATGACAGCCTGTTTCTCTGGCTGATGTGGGTGGGAGGTTCCTGAGAGCACCTCTGTGGACCTCAACCTTCAAAACTAAAATAGCAACCATGCCTACTTCTCCTGGACAGCCCTTGTTTTCTGAAATTCTTCTTCACTCAAATCTATTCATTAATTGTGTAACTGCACGTAACTGAATCTTCACATACAATCCCAGGCCTTCACTCACTAGCCCTGGGACATTGGTCATATTGCATTCTCTAATCTCAGTTTCCTCATCTGTAAAATGAAATGGGAGTATCGTAAGCCTCCTAACAAGATGGTAGTAAGAACAAAATGCCTAGTGAGTACTTGCCCCAAATACGTGTCAAATAAATCAGAGGCAATTTTTCAATGCCACAGTTTCTTTGTCAGATCATAGCTCTGGATATTTGGTTCCTCCTTAAGCAGTCCCAGGCTTTAAAGCGGCCAAGGGCCAGGATCCCGGTAATCCCAGCGCTTTGGGAGGCCAAGGTGAGTGGATTGCCTGAGCCCGCGGGTTCGAGACCCACCTGGGCAACTTGGCAAGACCTCATCTCTACAATAAATCAAAAAATTAGCCGGGCGTGGTAGCGCACACCTGTAGTTCTAGCTACTTGGAAGGCTGAGGCGAAAGGATCTCCAGAGCCCTGCAGGTCGAGGCTGCAATGGCCGGGAGCAACCACTGCACTCTAGTCTGGACGACAGAGTGAGACTCCAATTCAAAAAAAATAAAAAATTTAAAAAATAAAGCGGCCAAGGACACAGATGACTGCCCCACCTTCTGAGCAATTCCCCCTGGGTCATCTTGTTACTGTCACTTTGAGTTTTCTGAGACCCTGTGGGTTCAGAGGCGGAGAATGAAGCTGGGATAAATAGTAGCAATCTTGGGGGCTGACATCAGTACTGCAAGTGTAAGTGCTACCCCAGGCGGCTCCCTGAGTGCATGGCTACGCTCTGCTCCCCAGGCAAATCCTAGGCATTTCCTCCCTCCTTTTTTTTCTTTCTCAGCTATTTCTTAGTCATACAATAGATGCTTATTGGGTGTCAACTCTGAGCCTGTCACTTTAAGAGAAGGGCTAGTGACACCACAGGAGGTCAGATAAGATCTCTGCCCTCATGGAGTCTGCTCACTTCTAGGGAAGACTGTTTAATAAGTTTTGAGTAGATTGATAAGTACTGGGAAGAGAAAAAATGGTGGAATTCTACAGAAGCATATGGGCAGGGCCCCTGCCACCCCTCTGTCATATAACACCTTTGTACAAATTAGGAAAAGGTGCTCCTTCCTCCTGTAGTTGCAGCTCTGCACAGAACGCTTAGCTAGGTAAGTGTTCACTCCACTCACTGAGTTTCTGCACCCATCACTCCTTGGCCAGGTGTCTTTGTACTGTCCACAACCTGCATAACTGTGTAGCAGCCCTGAGGGATTCTAACCTAGTTAGATCAGAGCCTGGGTGATCCCTTTGGGTCGTTGCTGGTTCTCTTTTGCCAAGTACATGAAATCGATTCAAGGTGAGTTGAAGAAATCAGTACTGAGGATTTGGAAATTTGGATGAGAGAGAAGAAAAATAGTTTGGGACTTGGCCTTAGAGGGGCAGGGGCTACCTTGGGGTTTCTTCATATCCTGACTTGAGCTCCTAAAAGGATAGGAGGATGCCATAATATATAACCTGTTTTAACACCATCACTTCTCTTCTGCTCCCAATTAACACCAGGCCTGTCAGTATCACCACCACATCATAGAATAAGAGAATGCTTATTAAGGGCCAGTTAGAAAGCCTATCATGCCATGTTGTTTCTTGAGTAGGGCTGTGGTTTGTGTTCACTGCAACAGCCCTAGCATTTCCCACACAGAGCTTGCTCAGTAAGGATTTGATAAATGAACCAGTGTTACAGGAAAGGAATTCCGAACTCTGACCACTTCATTCCAAAGCTTTTGGAATCCAGCCAGTTAGTGACTCCAAGTTAGCATGAATGAGGGGCTCTTATTGAAAGAGCTTAGGCCGGGTTCAGTGGCTCAAGCCTGTAATCCCAGCACTTTGGGAGGCAGAAGTGAGAGGATTGCCTGAGCCCAAGGGTTCGAGACCAGCCTGGGCAACTTGGCAAGACCTCATCTCTACGATACTTTAAAAAAAAAAATTAGCCAGACATGGTAGCACACGCCTGTAGTTCCAGCTACTTGGAAGACTGAGGCGGAAGGATTGCCTGAGCCCAGCAGGTCAAGGCTGCTGTGATCATGAGCATGCCACTGCACTCCAGCCTGGGCGACAGTGAGACTCCAACTCAAAATAAATAAATAAATAAAATAAGCCGGGCTCGGTGGCTCAGCCTGTAATCCCACGCCTTTGGGAGGCTGAGGTGAGTGGATTGCCTGAGCCTGCGGGTTCGAGACCCGCCTGGGCAGCGAGACCTCATCTCTACAATAAATCAAAAAAATCAGCCGGGCGTGGTAGCGCATGCCTGTAATTCCGGCTACTCGGAAGGCTGAGGCGGAAGGATCGCCGGAGCCCAGCAGGTCGAGGCTGCGGTGGCCGGGAGCGGCCACTGCACTCCAGTCTGGGCGACCGAGTGAGACTCTGACTCAAAAATAAATAAATAAGTTAATTAATTAATTAATTAATTTAATTAAGTAAAAGAGTTTGGGCCTTGTGGTTCTGGTTAGGCCCAAATGAAAGCTCCGGCAGGCTCTAGAGTTAGGGTCTGATGTGAACATGAAAAGAACAGGATGGGAAGGAATATGTTGGTAAAACCTCATAACTGATCCTTGGACCAGGTTAATGAGGGGACCCCAAGAAAACCAGAATTATCTTTTGGAGGGTGGGCCCCTTGTAGTACAGGCTTCCCCTGCTAGATAAGTGTTCTAGAAACCCATTGGCATCAGTGTACCAGCTAGCATTGTTGTGAGAGGCTGTGCTCAGCTTCAGTGAAAATTTCTGTGGAGATTTTTTCAGCGCATTTGCCCATTTCATGATGGGCGATTTACATGAACAACCGGCCCATACCACACCAAGCATTCAGCAGTTTTTGACCAAAAACAGCATGACTCCAGTGCCCCACTCTCCTTATTCACCCGATTTTTTTGTTTCCCCAACAACAACAACAAAAATCCTCCAAGGGAAACATTTTGCTGATGTGGAAGAAATGGAACAACCTACTGGTCTCTGGTGATCCTTCCACCTCAGCCTTCCAAGTAGTTGGAACTATAGGCATGTGCCACCATGCCTGGCTAATTTTTTTATTTATTGTAGAGACAAGGTCTTGCCAAATTGCCCAGGCTGGTCTCGAATGCCTGGACGCAAGCAATCCTCTTGCCTCCGCCTCCCAATGTGCTAGGATTACAGGTGTAAGCCACTGCACTCAGCTTTTGAATTATGAAAGCCAAGCTGTGTTTACAATGGAAATAGACCAGCTGTAGTCCTTTAATTTGCTTCCATATAAAATAGTCTATAAGTGCCAGTTCTTCAGGCTCTGTAGACTGTACATGTTTATCACAGAACCTACACACTAAATGGCAGTAAAGGTATTATTCTGGTAAGATAGCTGCTGGGTCATTTTTCCGGTTAGCCTCTTAGCACTTATCTTTCTCTCTTAAAACTGGATGAGCAGGTCTATATGTTCATATATTCTGCATATATTCCTGCACTTAGCATTGCAGGAACATACGCACGCCACCTATTCTTTTTTATTTTTATTTTTATTTATTTTTTTATTTTTTTGAGTTGGAGTCTTACTCTGTCGCCGAGACTGGAGTGCAGTGGCCACTCCTGGCCACCACAGCCTCAACCTGCTGGGCTCAGCGATCCTTCTGCCTCAGCCTTCCGAGTAGCCGGAATTACAGGCATG